GGCTTAATAGCCTCAACTTTATTGATTCTGTAAACGTCTATTTACACGCCAACCGTGCAAGCGTTGTCCTCTCTCGCTTCGTCTATGCGTCACATGCTGTACCAGTTCGTACGTTCAGCACAAACTGATTCAAACTGTGTGCCCCTCGGTCGTCTCTCCCATGTCGACGCACGATCCAAATCGTCTTGGAACAGCTGGATCGGCAGACGGTTTTCGAAGGTTCTCGAAACTGCTATCGTCAGCCGCAAAACTGTCACGGCGGCGTAAGGCCTCGTCTCCTAAACGCTTTTCTCATTCCAACTCTTGTCAAGTTGGTCTACACTTTGTAATGTGTGTGCAGTGTGTGCATCATGTGGTTTGCATGGCTGTCTGGTGTATGTGTCCGCGTATTCTGCAAAGTGTGCATGACTGTGGGCACTTTAAGTGCCTGTAGCCGCATGGTGTATAGCGCACATGTGGTGTCATGTAGGCAAATGGATGGTGTGTTTTGCGCATAGCCGAACAGTGTACAAGGCTTTGTATGGTGTCAAGTATGAACGTATTTAACTCTATAGCGTATTTAGGGTGTAGTAAGTGTAGCTGCATAGTGTGCATTCTTCGACGCGTAGCTGTGGCGCCCATTGTAACTATTGTAACTACTTAAACTAGTTAAACTAGTTAAACTACTTAAAAACTGCGACCACAAAAAAGACCACACCATCGTGGTCTTCATACTTTCACTTAAAGTATAGTCACTATTCTGTACATGGTGTAGCCTATGTATGGCTGCATGTGGTGGCTCGACAAGGTCGACCCGGCAGAGCATAGCTTCTTCTGCGGTGTCCGCCCCAGTGGCTATGGTTGCTTACGGCAGCTGACCGTGCATGTGACTCGGTGCCTTCATTTGTCTCGTGTCACTTTGTCGAGTTGTACATCGGTCTTAAGGCTGGGGTCTCTCTGATGATGCCAGTTACGAGGAGAACGACGCAAGAGAAACCTCCGGGAACGTACCAAATCATCGATTCGATGCTGTAAATTATTAGTGTTGTTGTGCCTACCTTCATTTCGACTGAACGTGTTTGGTGAAGAGATTCGAAGCTCGATTGCACCAGAAGACGACAGCGGCCTTGGAATCTGTTCATCAAGCACTTTCACTCGAAATGGAAACTGACACACTTAAGGCACAAGAGACTCCTCGAATCCCGACTATCTTCGCAACAACAGGATCAGCAAAAAGAAGACGACTGGATCAAGGTAACATCCTTAATTTTAGGAAAAGAGATCCCAAGGGAATGAGAAAGGAAGAATCAGAAGCAAAGAGGAGACGTCTTCAGTGAGCCTTAGCAGAAAAAGTAGAACCACGAAATTTGTGGGTTGGCACACGTAAGAAGTGATAGTCATGGTATTCTGAGATAGAAACAGGAATGACGAGGTGGAGACTAAGCTATTTGGTTAATAATAGACGCGTTTGATTTTAAACGTGATCCTTGAATCACGATTATATTTTTTAGCCAACCAACTCTATCCTCTATTAATCTATAATACAAAACCTATTACTTCCTATGCCCTAGTCTCTTGTATGCCAACCCAGAAATGTTGTGGTTCAACATTGAACCAAATCAAAACAAGCTGTACCACAACATTTGTGGG